TGTCAGAGCAAGATATCCCTGTTACACATTTGTATGGCGAATTCACATGTTCTAACCCCCCCCCCCCTCAAAAAAAAAAGAAAGAAAGTACGTTGACCAGTGAACCAACCGGAATTATATCAATATAAATTGCTGTAACTAGGCTAGTGCGGCCAGCAATATGCTATTCCATGGCCAGGCCCATGCCGACGTGCGGCGCTGGTCTCACCAGTTACCTAGCGCTTGATGGGTGTTAAGTCTGCGCGAGCGAGCGCGCGCGCGCAGGTCTGCCACATCCGGTGGATTCCTTTCTTCCCACTCCCTCTCAGACTGCCCTATGTCAGACAGTTGTAGCTCTAAAGTTATTCCTTCATAAGACACACATCTGCGTTTTGTTCCACGGCTGGGAACAACATCGCATCAATCCCGCAACATGACTATACCGTACTAGGTGTATTCCCACGCTATGTGTCACGGCTCACAAGATTTTAATTCCCGCACCCAACATGGAGATATCAAAAAACCAATTAAATACAGACCATGCCCCAGAATACACTCACTTCGTGCTAACATCAACCCACCTATTTTCTCTATGATGTGATCTAAACGTTTTTCGTTCTCATAATCTCTATTCTAAGTTGTCACAATCTCCGGTGTAATTATCCGGACAGGAACACGTGCTATGCCTTTGTGCGACGGCCGCGGCTAGATAGTGGATTCCCACAATATCGCAATACCACCTACGTTCCATCGCGGAAACACATAGTACCTCACGGCAGTCCCCGCTAAATATCTAATATATGCAATCACACCGTTCTCTTCATCATTCTGCACATCTATCTTCTGTTTGCGTTCATTTCTACGACTTGAACCCTCTTTAACCTCAATCCAAACACCGTCGTGTCAGCGTAATTGGATGAGGACCCAGTATGAGTGTGAACTAACACTTCGGGGCAGCCTAATGTCCCTGAGGTGTGCGGACTACTAATTCTCTACTAATTATTCTCGATTTCCACTGTGACATAATTATGTCTTGAAAAAACTCAGAATATGATCACACAGGCGGAAGAAACACAATTTAGGCCGGTGCACAACCAATACACCCTGTGATAGTTTCTAGCTCAAAATAGAGCAGGCTGCGTGAGCTGTCAACGTGGACTGCGTCGCCTCAAGAAAAAGTGTGAAACACTCGATGTGCACGATATCTATATGGAGGGTATAGTATTGAATTATCAAATTATCCAAATCTGAAGATGTAAGGTAACATTAATTAAAAGACTTTAAGGGACCGTCTCTCTCACTCCTCTCTCTCTCCTCTCTCTCTCCAGCGGTCTCTCTCTCTCTCTCTCGCTCTGGTCGTGCTCTCTCTCCCTCTCCTCGCGCCTCTCCCTCTCCTCTCTCTCTCATCTCTCTCATCTCTCTCTCTCTCTCTCTCTCTCTCTCTCTCTCTCTCTTTCTCTCTCTCTCTCCTCCTCTCTCTCTCTCTCTCTGCATTATCCTCTATCATCTACCTGCATTCCGAAGTCTTCCGGACATTGCCAGCACGTAACGGTTCTCAAAATCTTACGTATAGTGTAGAGTGATGGCAGTGATCTGGAGGGGTCTATAGGCGTAAATTGACCATTTTTAAAAATTTCTCAAAAATCCAAAAGAAATCATACAGCCATTCTGATTTCATGTCTGAATAGAACTATCCTTCTACTATTATATGCAGAAGCATATAATAGTAGATTTTTGAGAAGTCAACCTTACTTTTTTTTTTGTTAATATTTTCCGAAGGTGACTGTTGAAACACCCTAATAGGAGATTTTGAAAACATATGTCACTTTTAAAAGGAGCACATGAGTATATTGCAAATTCTTTTTTGCAGCATGTAGTAGATCTACAATTCAGCTAGAAAATGATCCATAATACGTAAAAATTGGACTGAAAATACGTGTGATATGCGTAAAAATGTACGAAATACTTTTATATTATTGTGACGGACCTAAAGTCGCGATCTTTTTCCTTTTCATTATTTATACATTTTACATAAGAAATCATGTACTGAAAATACGTGTGATATGCGTAAAAATGTACGAAATACTTTTATATTATAGTATCTATTATTTACCTATTATTGTTTCTCTAATGGGGTTTACAACGTATAATATTGGCCGAAAGAATAACTGTTCCCCAGTCGGACGGAAATCATATGAAGCTTTTCTCATCGTGGCCGGGGCGTTAAAGAGCGATGACTCAGGTCTCTTTACCTATGTGGAGCAAGGATGTATAACTCTATGGGGCCGCATAGCCATTTTTCACACTCAGTCTCCCGTGAAAGACGAAAAACGAGTACATAGCGGTGTAAAAATGTGTATATAGGGTATGTATGCACATATAGATCAATTTCGTGTACCCAATGACCTTTTGTTTATTTATAGTGTTACTTCCGTTTGTTTCTTTGTAGATTTTTTTTTCTTCTTCTTCTTCTTCTTCATCTTCTTCTTTCTAACTCGAAAAAGATCTGATGAAACAGATTTGCATAAAATTTTTACCTGAGTTTTGGCTTAGCCTAATTAATATTCCATAAAATTTTGGTGGTGATCCGGAACATTTGCAATCCTTAATTCCAATGAAATATTATTTTCATGATTGAAATCGCTAAATGTGACATAATGATTAGAGATAATTTTTAAAGAGATTTTCTGAAAGCTTATTAAATTTAACATTGAAGATAACAACCTTCATTTTTTCAGATAATTTAAAAAATCTCGCCATCCAAAAAGATAAAAAATTTTTTCAAAAATGAAGAAATTTTTCATACAAATGAATAAACATGATATGCTGCTCATATGGAATATTTTATTTTTATGTTTTCATCATACATACAAAACATTGCGAAGTGGGCTTTGGAAAATAACCAAAAAAAAAGTAAGGTCGACTTCTCAAAAATGGCTTCTGCATATAATAGTAGAAGAATGGTTCTGTTTAGATATGAAATCAGAATGGCGAAGTTTTTTTTTTTTTTTTTTTTTTTTTTTTTTTTTTTTTTTTTTTTTGAGAATTTTTTAAAATGTTTAATGTAGGCCTATAGACACCCAAGGTCACTGCCACCACTCTACACTACGTAAGATTTTGAGAAATCATTATGTGCTAGCAGTGTCTGGAAGACTTCGGAATGCAGGTAGACGATGGAGGATTAAGGTGTAGTAAGGCAATTATTATACCTTGTTTTGTTAATATGAAAATAATCATGAAAAGATAAAGAAAACAAAAAAGGCTGATATTTTGGCACACCACCTGTTGGGGGGGGGGGGGAATGGTCACGGGCGCAATTTATGTCCAAATTAAACATATTATGGCTCATTTTGTAGAAAAATAAAATATCTACAATATGTATGAGAGTATTTTTGCAATTTTTGCCTGTGCTTCTTGTAAAAGTGGTCAATGTAAGGTAAATTTTACCTTTTTCTGTTTTCTTGAAGTAAAAAATTTGATATCGAAAAAACCCTCTCGAACAAGTTGTAGCTATAGGGTTGTTCTGTGGAAAAAAAAAAAAAAAAAAAAAAAAAAAAAAAAAAAAAAGAAATTGAATGTCTTACCATTTTTGAAGACATGAAAGTTTGCCCCCCACGCTCCATTTTCAGATTGCTTTTTTCTTTCTTTATTTATTTATTATTATTGAGAATTCAAAAAGGTTCGCCCGTTTAAAAAAAAATCAACCACAGGCAATGGGAAGTGGTCTAAATATAAAGGTGTGAGTTTCATAAAAATCGGCAAAAAAAAAAAAAAAAAAAAAAAAAAAACACAGATGTTCCCCGTAAAGGCATAGATGTGTAACATCAGACACAGATAATTACCCAAATATCATTTTGACAATATAGTAATACATCAAGTAGTTCGACAATAAGAAAATGCGTTCATCGGTCAGTCTTGTGTTTTTTTTTGCAAGGTAAACAAGCTAATGGCCTTCGAATTTGAAAGGCAAGTGCACGGTATATTTTTGTCATTTAGCAGTGACTGTAAGGTCTATAAGATGTTGATGTCCATTTCACTCTGTCTACTCGCATCGGTTTCTTCAACCTCCACCATTTTTATTTTTTTATTTGATTGTCAGTGTTTTCATGCAACGTAGACAAGACATTTACCAAGAGTTGCATTTGGAAAATAGATATTGCCCGATCATGGCACTTCAGATGCATTTCAAGAAAGATTTTTTTTGTGTGTCAGCACTTCCTGTGGTGAGACTTCATTATGCTCACTCACCCGCACACATGCACCCACACATGCGTGCGTGTACACACACACGCACACACACACACGCGCGCGCGCATGTGCTCACATACGCACACACAAATGCACACACATATACGCACCCCCCCCCTCCCCCCACACACGCACACAAACAATGCATATCACTTACATCATTTAGATTATTTGACTATTATGTCATTAAGAATTTTGTGTAAGATGGGTGATGAGTATGACTCCCCATGAGTGCACAAAAATTTTGGATGCATAAGATCTGGACTAGGATGATGCATTCAATTCTCTTTCTCCCTCGTCTCTCCCTATGTCCTTCCTCCTCCCCTCCTCTCCTCCTCCTCCTCCTCCTCCTCTTCCTCCTCCTCCTCCCTCCTCCTCCTCCTCCTCCTCCTCCTCTTCCCCCTCTCTCCCCTCCCTCCCCCTCCTCCTCCTCCTCCCCTCTCGCTCCTCTTCTCCCCCCTTCCTCCTCCTCTTCCCCCCTCCTCCTCCTCTCCTCCTCCTCCTCCTCCTCCTCCTCCTCCTCCTCCTCCTCCTCCTCCCTCCTCCTCTCTTCTTCCTCCCTCCTCTCCTCTTCTTTCTCTCCCCTCCTCTTCTCTCTCCTCCTCCTCTTCCTTTCTCTCCTCCTCCTCCTCTTTTCTTCTTCTCTCTCCTCTCTTCTTCCCTCCTCCTCCTCCTCTTCCTTTCCCTCCTCCTCTTCTTTCCTCCTCCTCTCCTCCTCTTCCTCCTCCTCTCTCCTCCTCTCTCTTCCCCTCTCCTCTCCTCTTCCTCCTCCTCCTCCTCTCTCTCTCCCTCCTCTTCCTCCCCTCTCTCCTCCTCTTCCTCTCTCCTCTCCTCTCCTCCCTTCCTCTCTCTTCCTCCCCTCCTCCTTTTCCTTCCCTCCTCTTCCTCCCTCCTCTTTCCTCTCTCCTCTCCTCTCCTCTTCCTCTCTCCCCTCCTCCCCCTCTTCCTCCTCCTCCTCCTCTCCTCTTCCTTCCTCTCTCCTCTTCCTCCTCCTCCTCTCTTCCTCCTTCCTCCCTTCCTTCCTCCTCTTCCTCCCTCCTCCTCTCCTCCTCCTCTTCCTCCTCCCCTTCTCTTCCACTTCCTCCTCCTCTTCCTCTTCCTCCCACCTCCTCCCTTTCCACTTCCTCTCTACTCCTCTTCCTTGTCCTCCCTCCTCCTCTTACTCTTCCTGCTCCTCCTCTTCCTCTCCTCTCCTCTCCCCTCTTCCCTCCTCCTTCTCCTCTTTTTCTCACTCTTGCTCCTCCTCTCCTCCTCCGCTCCTCCTCTTTCCTCTTCCTCACTCCTCCTCCTCTTCCTCCTCCCTTCATTCTCCTTGTCTTTCTCCTCTTTCTCTCTCTTCTGCTTCCTCCTCTTCTCTGCTCCTCCTCCTCTTCATCCACCTCCTCCTTTTCACTGTCCTCCTCCTCCTCCTTCAACTTGTTTTGTTTCTCCTTTTCCACCTCCTTTTCTTCCCCTTTCCCTTTCCCCTCTCTCTCCCCTCTCTTCCCCCTTCCCTTCCACTTCCTCTTCCTTCCCCCTATCACCTTCACTCTTCCCATCTGCCTCCTCTCTCACCTTTTAAGTGTCTCTTGATTTTTTCCCATTTAGTTATTGAGTAGAATACAGTGTTTCATAGAATTGATTCCCTTTTCTTTTCTTTTAGATTATGGTAAGATAATGGACACCCAAGGCAGTGTAAGCAGACTCACAGCCGAGCAACAAATTAATGGCACCAGTAGCAGGTGAGGCATTTTGATTTCTTCTTTTCTGTTAATTTGTTATTACTGGTCATTAATTTACATTCCTACTACAAATGATAATGAGGATGAAAAGTAGTTGTAATTGTTATTTGTTTGTATATGTTTGATATTTTGAATATTTTGTTATTTTGAATTTAAGGAGAATTATTTTTAGAATAAGGTAACTTAAGGGGACCGCCCCAGATGGGGGGACAGGGGGTCAAATTGATTTAGCTAGCATATAGTATAGGTACATGGATGAGGAAACTACCAAATGAGTATTAAAGGCTTGCTGTGGCTAGTTCCCTTGCAATGAACGCGAGACCGGCTAAACACCTGGGGAGGCTCGTTACTAACGAGCGCCCAGGTACACCTATGTGAACTTTTGCTTGTTGCAATCCAGCATATGGTATTTGATTATGACATTGTGAATAGATATGACTTCGTGAATGTTCAAGGACCGCTTTTATACCAATATCAGAAAAAAATTATATCAATGATTTATGACAAAAATTTTTGTGAAATACATCTTTAAAAAAATGTAAGCTTTGTGTCCTTTTACACAAATTATGCTTCCATCGAGACTCCCTGGTAATGTGTTGTAGCTTACGAAGTGATCTGTACGTATACTGAGTACGAAGCACTTAAGGTTTGAAAATAGCTGTATAAGTAAGGATTGAAATATTTCCGTTAGACTTGACTCAATGGTGGGTACATCACAGCATTGGTAAATTTGATTTGTTTTGAAATTGGTTGTTACTTTTGTAAAGGGCATTTCAGTGCGAAGGGTACCTAGAAGTTGGATTTTTGAACTTCGGATATATAAGGGAGATACTAATTATTTCATATTGAAGATGATAGTATGCACTAATACCCACTCTGAAATAAAAACTCTGGAATTTTGAGCTCGTTTGCATACACAGTCTTCGTCTAGAGTTGTAAAATCTATCGCATCTATTTCGTGCAATTCCGATAAAAAATGTTTAAACGTTACTGTAGGTCTTAGGTACCATAAATTTGCAAATATCCAACCACATCTAGGCGTCTGCATGATATTATGCACTTCTTGGTAAAGATAATGAGTGCAAATGGATAATCAATAACTCTACACTCGTTTTCAATTGCAGTCTTTTACTATTGACAATTATCGAAGGAAACTGTTTGAGAGGGATATCTAATATACTTTACTCCTCTTGATATAAAAGTCAATGTAGGCCTACTAAATGATAATTAATTTTTAAAACTTTGCGCGTGTGTTTACGTACATATTATCCTCCTTGAAATTTATAAACACCCAGTGACCATCTCTCCCCCACCCCACTCCACTCCACACCACTCCCCTTTCAAAATTGAACCACCATATTGTATTCATGCTAGGACTTTATAATTAGGATGATTTTGTACTAATGTTGCCATCGACTAGATTATTTGTCTCTATGGTTCAATGCACTCATTAAACTTTTCTGACAAAAATATCATCTTTTATGTCCAACAACAACAAAAAAAAAAATACATACCTTTATATGGAAAGCATCCCTATTGAAAATGATAATTCCGATTGACTTAGTAATCATCGCATCGCAAAGTACACTAAATAAGTTTTTCATATATATAACATTAGATTTAGAGAAAAATAACAGAGATAACGAACTTTGGTAAGCTGTCAAAATGTAATATGCCGTATCTCTGTTCTTTGTTTACATTACCTTTGGTACATCACTCTCATAATTTTTGTGCAATTCAAATGCAGTTTGTTGCTTTTGCTAGAGCCTCGGACCCCTGAGGCCATGTAAATGGCCGATTTTTAAATTATGGCCTTGATCAAAAAATGTAAATTTTTTGATGCAGAAAGAAACATACCAAAAATAGTACTCTATGTCAACTGGACCCCAAAAAAAGGAAATAGAAAAAAATTGGCCATTTACATGGCCTTAGGCCGTGAATTTTATGAGGATTATTTAGGAAAAAACTGTGGGCATGATGATGTACCAAAGAAGAGAGGGGAAAAAAACTATTTTTAAATTTTTTTTGTTTTGGGGGCATCCCCCCTATAGGGGTGCAAGGTCAAAATTATATATGAGATGAAGTGCAATTCTATGCTCTATATTATGCAAAAAGAATCAGTGAGTTATCTCCAACCTTCCTCATTCCAGGTCACCAGGAGATGGGTCCAGCACACCCAGGTCACCCAGGGTAAATAAGGTTAGAACTTATCTACTTTCCTGTACGATAGTGTTGTGTGACTTATAGGATTGATTGGGTCTTATGCCCATACTTATATTGTCCATGATTTTGCAGCAGAGTGAGTGAGAAGTGAAGTGAAGCAGTTCTCATGCCTTTAGGTGAAAACTGTTTATTTCAGGAATGAATATGCAATACAACTTTCAGACACATATTGTCACAACCCCCCCCCCCCCACACACACACACACACACACACAAAGGTTAATCAGAAGAAACTGAACATTTTTAAACTGAAGGATTATTATCAAACATGTCAGTGAAAATAAGAAAAAAATAAAGGCACATAAGTAGCCCGATATCAGTAGAACAGCAGAGAATGAGAGCAAAGGTTGTCGTCAGCTGGCCCTTGTTCCTTGTCTCCCTCACTTTCCCCTTTTTTCCTGTTACATAATGAACATGATTTGTAAAGTTCTGTATTATTTGTCATGTTCTGGAACACTGATGCACTAGACTACATGCCAATTAATGTACTGGATTTCCAGATTATTCAGATCTTTGAAAATGTCTATATATTGCTTGCAATGCAGTGAAAGACAGCAGGTGGCATGGTTTGACCAAAGTTGTTAAGCCTTTACCTATGGATGACATGTATGACATGTCATGCCAAGAATGGCTATCTTGCCAGTGACATGTATGTCATACCTCTTTATTTTAATACATTTACAGTTTATAGCCTATATATTGTATGGACTTTGCACGTTGGTGGTGGGACACTTTGTGAAATATTGGAAAAGAAAAGCACTAAGGCCTAATTGATAAATACATGTCACTATCAGAGCTACAAACCAGGTCATAAATGATTCATATATAACATGAAAACATACATACAGGTGGCCTGCACATGACACTTGTTGCGCTGTTATAGACAACCCTACTCTTTATGTTAAATGATCAGATGAATTTCCCAACAATTTTGGATAAAATAGATTGTATAGATATAGATAAGTAGATATCTGTAAATGCTTATGTGAAAGTGAGAGAGAGAGAGAGAGAGAGCGAGAGCGAGACCGAGCAAGTGAGAGCCAGAGCAAGTGAGAGCCAGAGCAAGTGAGAGCCAGAGCAAGTGAGAGCCAGAGCAAGTGAGAGAAGAGAGAGAGAGAGAGAGAGAGAGAGAGAGAGTGAGTGAGTGAGAGAGTGAGTGAGTGAGTGAGTGAGTGAGTGAGTGAGTGAGTGAGTGAGTGAGTGAGTGAGTGAGTGAGTGAAGGAGGAGAAGAAGAAGAAGAAGAAGAAGAAGAAGAAGAAGAAGAAGAAGAAGAAGAAGAAGAAGAAGAAGAAGAAGAAGAAGAAGAAGAAGAGAGAGAAAAAAAAGAGAGGGAGAAAAAAAAAGAGAGGAGAAAAAAAAATGAGGAGAAAAAAAAAGAGAGGGAGAAAAAAAAAAGAAGAGGGAGAAAAAAAAAAAAGGGAGAAAAAAAAAGGAGAGAGGGAGAAAAAAAGAGAGGAGAAAAAAAAAGAGAGAGAAAAAAAGAGGGAGAAAAAAAAGAGAGGGAAAAAAGAGAGGGAGAAAAAAAAGAGAGGGAGAAAAAAAAGAGAGGGAGAAAAAAGAGAAAAAAAAGAGAGGGAGAAAAAAAGAGAGGGAAAAAAAAGAGAGGGAGAGAGGGAGAGAGAAGAAAAAAGAGAGAAAAAAGAGGGAGAAAAAAAAAAGAGCAGAGGGAGAAAAAAAAGAGAGAGAAAAAAAGAGAGGGAGAAAAAAAAAGAGAGGGAGAAAAAAAAAGAGGGAGAAAAAAAAGAGAAAAAAAAGAGAGGGAGAAAAAAGAGAGGGAGAAAAAAGAGAGGAGAAAAAGAGAGGGAGAAAAAAAGAGGAGAAAAAAAAGAGAGGGAGAAAAAAAGAGAGGAGAGAAAAAAGAGAGGGAGAAAGAGAGCAGAAAAAAAAGAGGGAGAAAAAAAAAAAGAGGAGAAAAAGAGAGAGAGAGAGCGAGAGAGCGAGAGAGAGAGAGAGAGAGAGAGAGAGAGAGAGAGAGATATGCATATACATGCTCACTTATATATATATTTTTTTTTCTAGGGTGGAAAAACTGTAAAGGATAAGCGTTCAGATTCGGATTTTATTTTTGGAAAACTCATTGGTGAAGGAAGCTTTTCCAGTGTAAGTGCCAGTGCATTCTATAATTGATTCCAGTTTTGCTAATGAGACTAACATATGTGTGTGTGTATATATATATGCATTATGTAATATCTTTGTCATCATTGAATAGATTCTTAATGAGCTCTTTACATTCCAGGTTTACCTTGCAAAAGACATACATACAAACCAAGAATATGCAGGCAAGTTACTTATTTTTGGGTTCTCTTTTGTTTAGAGATCAGCTTCCTGTTTCTCTCCCTTTAATTATTTTGCTGAAGTTGTAAGTTTCGTGTGTTTATGCTTCTTTAGTTCAGAAAACCATCAGTGCAGTAGCATTTAATTTTTTTTCAGTAATTTACTAGCTCAGGCACTTGCTAATATTACAGTGCTGATTTTTTCATTTCTGTGGTAATAAACAGTTTTTGCAAATGATTTTAGCTATAAGGATGAAAATATTCTAATGTCTAGTAGGGGCAAAATGGTTAATGTGAAAATCGGTTGCAGAAATTTTGATCAAAGTGTTTTAGAAGAGAATTGCAATAAGACTTTAGAAAGCAATGGTAGGAATTTTCAGGCAGCTTGCAGTCCAGAAAGTGTGGGACACAAGAGTAAATCCTTCATGCATTAACTATGTTGTTCATATGCACCCCTAGATATAGTTCATTCTGAGTATGATAGAATAGCTACTTTAGATTTTTTAACCCGTTGCCGACGGGTGGCACGTATGTACATGCCATGGCTGTTGTGGAACGAATGCCGGGGGGCATCATGTCATGCCCATTCCCGTGCCATTGGCTCGTCGAACGGAGGTTGTTTTTCTCCGATAGTAGCGGCACCATTTATATGGTAAAGATTTTAGGCAATGGCACATATAATGAAGGTGAACCTTCAAAATTTTAATATTTTTATAAATTTTAGCAAAATAAAAGCTTTTAGGTGCTAAATGTCGCTCGCAAACTACCGATCGAGCTGGGCGCAAACAGGTGAAACTGCCAATGGGCGCCAACAAGCCCGTGCATACGTCCACTTGCCAAAACTTTTACCCGTCGGCGATGGGTTAACCCAATAACGACGGGTGTCCCATATATGAGACACCTGAAAAAATAAATATTGCCAGGTGTCCCACTAGTGTGACGCTGTATCAGGGCTTGCACACCAATTTTGTAGCCGCCCAGATTTAGAAGGATTGTGGCACAAGCATGACAATATTGTAGAAGTCATACTTGTTAGTGCTGTTTTGTTTGGAAAGTTTAAGGGGGCTGTCACACTCAAGAACGAAGTTTGTCATTTATGATTGGATTTTCGTGATTTTTAAAATATAATATATATACATATACACTGATAAACGTCACCAAGTTTCATACCATTTGAATAATAAACTAAGGTGTTATTTAAGAAAAACGAGTTTGTGAAAAATCACAAAGTTTGATATTCACACTTTATCCATTAACCAAACTTGTTGAAAAAAATACCATATTTACTTAATGATAATACAAAAAGGCTCGATTATATGGATCTTTGATTTCCTTTTAGTTTAGTGGGAATTTATTTTTTTTATTATCTTTATTTTTATTTTTATCTAAGTGCTCTGTCTTACGAACTCAAGATATAATATATGGACTTCTTTTACGTGAATGAAAACATCCATAATGTAAAAATTCACAAATTTATTCAGCTTTCAAATGACCCAAACCCCATTAGAATCTCCAAATAGTTTTGGAAAAATAAAAAAGAATGTTGACAAACGTGTAGTTTTGAGATATCGGGCTCCGAAGTTTAGGAGACTTTTCCCACAATTTTGTTTTTGATTTTGTTTTTGTTTTGTTTTGTCTATTTTATTTATTTATTTATTTTTTTTAGAATTATTATCTCAGCCTCAATCTTGCTGCATTCTATGGCATTCACATGGTATTTTGAAGTGTAGCTGGTAACTGGTCCCCCCCTTTTGCAAAGTACTTATGGCAATAACTGCACATAATTGTAGAATTTGCGCGTGTCTTCATAGACTTCACAATGCCTAACCTGACTATGTGTGGTATTTCCTAAGTTTAAACAACTGCTGCAGCTGTGATTGAGATTTATTTCTTATCATATAATGTTTATTAGATACAAAAATAACATCTACCATTAGTTGTGACCCGTTACTGTGTAATGAGGGTGTACGTCTGCAAGATGTGTCATAGAGGTAGGACCTATTAACATTTTGTTTCCTAGAATGGCAACATCTTGTTTCCCAGAGTCCCAGTCTTGGCGATCAGCTGATGGATAAACAGAGTTGCCAGCTAACTACCAGAGAATACCAAAATAAATTGAAAAAAAAAAATCAGAAAAAAAAAAATTCTGTTGAGTATATATGCATGGACATGACAAGGTAAACATCGGAGCGAGAGGGCGGGGGGGTCAGATATTTATTCATTACTCCTTTATTCTTATGTATTTACAGAAATATTACATCAATGGGTTGCCAAAGCCTACTAGATTACATGAGAATTTTTTCATTTTTTTTAGTATTTTTTAAAATATTCGTCAAAAATCTACGACGGCAACCCCCTTAACTTATCCATTAATTTAAAAGGCAGTGCACAGTTTATTATTCCTACACCTGTTAAATGTTTCATTCATATATACTAACATGATTGGAGAAAATGTGAAAACAGTTTGCAGTTTGTAATGCAATGATTGTAACATACAGTGAAGTACACTTTTTTTATTATTCCCACAAAAGAGACAAGCAAGGAGAGAGTTGAAAAATTAAAACAAAGTGGTAATTGGCAGAAATTTACTGGCAAGTGGTAGGACTAACAGGCTTCCCACAAAACCCATAAATTATGTATGTGAGAGTAAACCTAGTAGCCAATTGCACACCAATTGGCTTAAATGATGTTTATAGTGGCATTGTTGGGAGTGAAAAAGCTTAGGCATTATAGTATTTAACATCATCAAGGGTTTTGAGACATAAAGGTGTTGTATGGTTCTTTTGTGACTTTATTGAAATAGAGAGATACTGTGCTAATAAGTAAAGTATAGGTAGATTTCAGTGACATAATTACTCAACAGTCTAGCTTGTCTCGCATGGCATGTGAACAGCCAGCCCACCCATTTGCAAGCTATGACCTATATATAAGTCATAGTTATTATTTCATGATGACTTTAGGCATGCCTGTTACTGTGTGTGTGTGTGTGGGGGGGGGGGGGGAGCCTAATCTCCTTGAAAGTCTCATGGTAATGTCAAGAAAACAACCCTAAACAAATTTATTTTTGAAAGCATTAACTGTCAACAGAAAAAATGGGTGTGAGTTATCCACCAGGACTACTTTTAGGTCAGGGAACAGCATATTTTGTTTGCAAAAAGGAGAGGAAATATTCATGGAGCCCAATCCTCTTTCAACTTCTTTTTTAAGTCATGTTTTATTTTGTTTACAGTAATATGTGTATGATTAAGACTTGTTTAGGAATAGTATTTGGCAAATCTGAACCTTTCATCTAGTCATCCAGTCTAGCGTTTGAAGATATTTCTTTCCTGTCACTTTTTATTGTACAATATTGCATATTTACATGTAATGAAATGTGGAATGTAACTGCACTAGCAGAGACTGACTTTTGAATGCTTCAGAAATGCCTGTTTATTGTATGATTTATGTTTGTGGACTGGGAATCACTATATTCTTTTCTTTTCTTTGTTTACAGTTAAGGTCTGTGAGAAGGAGTTAATTATTCGAGAGAAAAAAGTCCAGCAAGTGACGAGAGAAAAAGATGTAATGAACATCCTCAACAGCAACCAGAATCCAAAAGCTCCATTCTTTGTTAAGTTGTCATATGCCTTTCAAGGGGATTATAAGCTTTGTATCCTTTGATGTGTTCAACGTATATTCATTCTTGGTCTGTAGAACCCATGTTTCTTTCATGTTTCAAAGTATAGCTGTGTTTGTTTTCTTTTTTACTTGTTTGTTTGAAAGCTGGTGGCAATTTTTTTTAAAGTGATATTTTCAGTATTCTGCATTGCAATGCTCTAGAATCCTTAGAATCCATAAAACCATAAATTTTATTATAGAGTTGATATAGTCACTTTATCTCAAAAAAAAAAAAAAAAAAAAAAACTAAGTAATGCTTTAGAAATGTGAAACATTGATGCTGAGAGTTTTATTATGTTTTTTTTTTTTTTTTTTTTTAACACATTGATGGCTATATTTATTACTAGAGTAAATCCCAAAGAAGTCAATTAAATACTGTCAAAACAGTTTTGAAAGCTTTTTGAGCTAAGCATCATCATTATAATTTCTAGTGTAGTGTTTATATTTGAAAGATTGTAAAGGAAGTATTTATATATTTTTGAGGATGATATTTTTTCCTTAACTTGATGATATAGATTTTGTGATGACATACTGTAAAAATGGTGAACTTCTTAATTTAATCCAAAGGGTAGGCAATTTTGATAGAGAGTGTGCAAGGTTCTACACTGCAGAAATAATCAGAGCATTAGAACATCTTCATTCATTAAATATTATTCATAGGTAAGTGAGCATATTTTATTAGTAAATTATTTCTATGGATGGTTTACCAACTCATTTTTGGTTCCTAAGACCAGCAGATATATCAATCTCAGGATTTGTTTTCTCTGTAAGGAACCATTTTCTCATTTGAATAAAGTTTTGAGTCCTAAGAAATGAACAGCCTGAGTTCCTTTGTTTGAGATATTGCACTGGCTGTAGATTTTGTTGCATACAGATGGCTTTACAAGAGCTCAGCCGCCAAGGAATCAACAGTGAACTATAGTGACCATGTCTGGTTTTTCCATTCCTTGAATTTGTGGGGGGATTTTTTTTTTTTTTTTCTTTTATGCATTTGATATTGATACTGTTATTGTTATTATTTACATTCTGAGCATTATAATGGTATCAAAATGCTAATGACAATGAGAATGATAGAACGATAAAAAAGCATCTTTCTGAAAATCAAGGAAAAAGGGAAGCAGGTGTGATAGGACTGAAATTACAATGGATATGGCATGTCTTTTTTCATACATAGCCATTGGGTTAATCCGGTTACTTCACACAATCACATGGACCAAAAGATTGGCAATAGGCTTACATAAGCAATTACTCTACTGGTTGTGCGGTGTGTAGGCCTGGGTGCACCCAAACACTTGTGTGTGGTGACAAGACTCTATGCCACCCCTTTGCAATATTATTTTACATTAACATTTTTAGTTTTTTGATATTTTTAATGTTCATATTTGTCTTTTAAGTTGCTTTATCAAGATGGTAATAAACTGTTTTCCTTGCACAGACTCAATATCACCTCTCTATGGAGTAAATAACTCAATGAAAAGAAAAGGAAAAAGAAAAAAGTAATATTTGTTATTTATGTGATTTTATTTTATTATTATTTTTTTTAATTTTATTATTATTTTTTTATTTATTTTTTTTAATATTCAGTTTTCTGTAATACAACCATTGCTACTTGTCATGGTAGCCAGAAATAGGATGCTTAGCATGAAAGTAGTATACTCAATGGAGCTGGTGTTATTCCAGTCATGGCTCATAGACACTACATTCCACTCTTGTTTATCGATGGGAATAATGCAAAAGCTAATTTCTAAACACCAAATCAGTCTAATCAACCTCAAAGAGGCTTTTGCAGTCATGGCGAGTCTGTTCAGTCACCCTGGCTTTTGTCCATGATGGCAAGTTCGGTGCACCCAGCCCACGGCCATTTTTTTTCATGACAGGATGTTCATGTCACCCACCCCCTCAGGCCAAATTTTTTTCATGGCATGATGGTGCAAGGAGCAGGAAAGGAAAGAACCTATTTTCCATTATGAACTTTAATAGACTATATGTATAACTTGAGTACTTTACTATGATTTTATATTTATAGAAGAAGGATAAGGAAAGTGTTCTTTCTTAGTGTCCTAGTTATGAATAAACTTAAGTAATGATTGCTTTGTTTCTTTCAGAGATTTAAAACCAGAAAATATTTTGCTAGATGAAAGAATGCACATAAAGATAACAGACTTTGGCTCTGCTAAGATTATTTCCAAAGAAGAAATAGAAGGATTAGATGGTAAGTGGGACATTGTTATACTATTAGAGGTCATGTGCATCTGAAGGTGTTTGATTAACTATAATTGATTCAAAATTTAATTTATAATGTTAGCATTGCTATGTTCATGTTAATGTACTCCATCTAATAATTATGGTGCTGTAATGACTCTCTGCTTATTTTTTATAGAAGAAATTTTAGAGTGACAAAATATTTTAGAAAACGCTTTTTGGCAATTGGTCTGAGAACACCTTTGAAATGCATACCCATATTCAGACTTGGCACTTGGAATATGAAAAATAGTAAGTTGTAGATTTAATATTTCAAAAAGAAAAAAAAATCCTAATATTCTCAAACTTAAAGATGTGTTCTACTTTAGTGTGGTATGTTTTAACAGATGGCAAGGCCCGCAAAAACAGTTTTGTTGGAACTGCCCAGTATGTATCGCCAGAATTACTAGAATCCAAGAAAGTGGGGCCAGCATCTGACCTCTGGGCTTTAGGCTGTATATTGTACCAGATGGTTTCGGGGCTTCCACCTTTTAGGTCCAGGTAAGGAAATTCTAGTTGTAAGTGGTTTCAGGCAAACTGACAAGTATTTGTGATTTTTTATGTTGATTTTGTAAGAATATTTCTTTGGAAACCGGAAGGAAATGCAGGAATTTCTATGTGTAGATTCATTTTGAACAGAGAAGAAATAAAACAGAGTGAAAAAGAAGAAAACATGCAAATATACTGAAACGGCCTTTGGCATATCCACATGTTTTCTTGTTCTTCACTTTCTTGTTTTATTTGGAAGAATATCTATCTGTTGATATATTTTATATTGTTCCATTTATGAGTTATATAGTTATGTGAATATGGTTAACAGGCATTCTTTGTCAAACCAATTCATGTTTTGTTGTTGATGCAAGGAAACATAGAATACAAAATTGTTTTAGAATGTTGTCTGGCAGTTAGACAGGGTCATTGGTTTTAGTTTAGAAAACAATAACTTGATATTAAAAATTCAATATTGAAAATAATTAAAGTGACTTTCATTGGACATAAAATGTGTGAGATATGATTGAACATAAATATTATGCAATATTATACCTTTCAGTTTTTTTTTTATTGAAAATAAAAAAGAAATAATTTCACACTTTTGAATTCATGCTATATACTCCATAATAGCTTCCCCAAAACTATGTGCATTGCATGTTTAACCGACTTATGACGAGTGTCTGAGACACCCAGAAAAAAAAAAAAATTGCTGGGCGTCCCGCCAGTGTGACGCTGTATTGGGGTTCACACTCCAACTCAGCAGCGGGCTGCAGCCGGTGCACGGTAATGTAGGATGTTATTTTCGGCTTCAAAATACACCGGCCGTAATGGGTTAACATATTATGAGAGAAAGGATACTTCTATGTAGTGCTTCAAAGAAATGTAGGGAAGCATTTCCCTGCAGCAAGGAATATTCTTCCTTAAATTCTTTTGCGTTAATAGTGGGATGTGAATTGTTCCCAACCTAAGGTGAGAGGGTGCTTCCCTCTTAGCACGTTGGATCCAGTTGCATCTCATAAATCATGGTGCTGAAAATATGGGCAGTGGGTTTCTTAAATGGCCAATGTGCTTGGTGTGAATAGGCCAAGCATGCACAATCACCCATGAGTGGTGACAAGACTGTATGCCTCCCCTTGCAAAATTATTTTGCATAAACTTTTTTAGCTTTTTTACCATTTTTCAATGTCCATATTTGTCTTTTGATTTGCTTTATGTAGATGGCAATTAGCTTATTTTCCTTGCACAGACTCTATGTCATCTCTCTATTTAGTAAATATCATGTGGTTATTTGTTTCATATATCTTATTTTTTCACAATATTAAATATTCTGTAATACAACCAGTTACATTGGCCAGGAATACAATGCGCAACATGGAAATGGCGTCCTTCCCAGAGTTGGTACACTTTCAGTCATGGCTTGTGCACATAATATTCCACATTCATTAATTGATGGGAATAATTCTAAAGCTCCAAATGAGTCTAATCACACTCCAAGAGATTTGTGAACTTGTAGCGAGTCTTTTCTGTCACCCTGGCCTTCGCTCATGACAGGAAGTTTGTGTCACCCGGCCTGCAGCCATTTTATACGATGACAGCATGTTCGTGTCACCTGACCCTCGACCTAAATTATTACATGACGGGACTGTAATGTCATCTGGATCATAGGGGTTAATGCCCTTGAACCCTTGCTGCAAGGATTAACATGGGCTTTTCTTGTAATCCCGTGTCGGTGCCCAGAGTAGAGGCATTCTCTTACTTTTCTTATGTTATCATGAAATATATGAGGTTTAGCTACCAATGAAGTGTTAGGAGAGTGGTTCACTGAGCTAACTGGAAAGAAATATAGAGCCAAATCTGACGCTTATAAACTATTCAATCATGCCTATTAACCCCCTCTTGACGGGATATCCCTACTCCATTCTGAGCCATGCACTTGGCTTTACATGCAATTAGCTGGTGGAGTGAAAAGTTAAAAGCGCTTAAGGGGACCGTCCTGGAAAATGGCCACTTTTCCCTACTCTTTACATCATAAAAAAATGTTGGGTAGAGATAACTCTTTGATTCTTTTTGTATGATATAGAGTATAGAATTGTGCTCTGTTATATATATAAATTTTAACTTTGCTTCGCCAATGGGGGTTAACACCCCCCAAAAAGTCGAAAAAATTGCTTTTTTTTTTTTTTTTTTTTTTTTTTTTTTTTTTTTTTTTTTTTTTTTTTTTTTTTTTTGGTATGTCTTCGGTACATCCCAACTACTTGTGTTAGATCAACCCTAGCCTAGATCCATGTAAAAGGCCGAATTTTGAATTTCCTTTTTGGGGGGCGGGGGGGGGGGACAGTTTGACATGGAGAACTATTTTTTATTTTATTTTTTTTTTTTTTCAGCATTAAAATATTATTTTTTGATTAAGGCAAAAATTCAAAAATCAGCCTTTTACATGGCCTTGGGAAGCCGAGGCTCTAGTGAAAGCAACAAACTGCATTTGAATCGCATGAAAATTACGTGAGTTGGGATGTACCAAAGATTCATAAAAAAATAACGGTGCTACGGCGTTTTGTATTTGGCCCCTTGCCAAAGTTCGTTATCTCTGTTATTTTTCTCTGAATCTAATGATATTATATATCAAAAAAATGCTTATTTAGTGTACTTTGCAATGCAATGATTACCAAGTCAATAGGAATTTTCATTTTCAATAGGGACGCTCTTCTGTAAAGGGGAGGGGGGGGAGATGGTCACTGGGTGTTTATAATTTTCGAGGAGGATCATATGTACGTGAACGCACGGACATAAAGTTAAAAAGATTAATCATCATCATTTAGTAGGCCTACATTGACTTTCATATCTAAATAATAAAATATATTAGTTATCCCTCTCATACCATCGATAATTGTCAATATTAATAGATTGCAAAGGAGAACAAGTGGTTTATGATAGGTTACTAAGAAGTGCATAAAATCATGCAGACGCCTAGGTGTTGTGGGATATTTGCCAATTTATGGCTTTTTGAACGATAGACGAAGACTATGCATACAACCGAGCTCAAAATTCCATATAGTTTTTATTTCAGAGCAGGTATTATTGAGTACTATCGTCTTCAACATGAAATAATCTGTATCTCGCTTATACATCCGAAGTTTAAAAATCTGACATTTAGGTAACATTCGTATTGTATTGGTCTTTACAACGGTAACTACCAATTTCAAATCAAGTCAAATTGCCCTCTGCTGTGATGTACCGACCGTTGAGCGAATTGTAACGGAAATATTTCAATCCTTCCTTATAAGGCTATTTTTAAACATTAGTGCTTCGTACGTGATGTACGTACATATTACCTCGTAAACTAAAACATATTACCAGGGAGTCTCGATCGAAGCATATTTCGTGTGTAAAAGGACACAAAACTTACATTTTTTTTTAGATATATTTCACAAAATATTTCGTCATAAATCACGGTGATATAATTTTTTCCTGATATTGGTATAAAAGTGTTCCTTGAACATTCACGAACTCATATCTATGTGCAATGTCATAATTAAATGCCTTATGCACGATTGCTGCAAGTAAAAGTCCACATAGGTGTACCTGGGCGCTCAATAGCGACGTACCTCTCCGGGTGCTGAGGGACTCGCACGCCGGCTGCAAGACAACGAGCCATAGCAGGCGCTTAATACTCGTTTGGTAGTTTCCTCATCCATGTACTTATACTATACGCTAACTAACTCAATTTAAACCCCATCCCCCCCATCTGGGACGGTCCCCTTAAGGCATATATTTATATCTCTGTCTATGCTTTTGGCTGTGGCATACAAATTTATAAGGAAATGAAGCTAAAAAATGACTTTGAGCCAACTCTTTAGGGGTTGTATCACCTCAGTGACTTATGTCAAGGTTAAACAATCAAATAACTTCAACATGCTCGACTTACGGTAGACATGGCATAGGTGCATTGCATTTGGCCTGGTTGGCATAATGTGATTTGACCTTATATGATATGTGAGTGAACATTCTATCCCAATTGTTTCACTGTACATGGGTTTAAAGGAAAAGGGTAAAGTCAATATATTTGTATCATCTAGATTTCTATGATACACCCTGTGCCACTGGTCATGATGGGCAGGAATAGGATCCGGAGCTTGGAAATAGTATCTTCCCTGGAACAATGGCTCATGGATGGTACTTTCTATCCTCGATTACCAGTTGAAATAATGCAAGAACCCCATTCTAAATGCCCACCAAGTTGAATCTTCCTCCAAGAGCTTTGTGCACTCATGGCACATGGCACTCCTGCCACCCCAGCATTTAGCTGATTTTTTCATGACGACACATTTCTGTCACCTGGCTTTGGCCATTTTTTTTCAAGACACGACATTATATAGTTCCAATAGGTTCGTATTATGACATGCTAGAATCCATTTATACAGGCTTTGTTCCAAGTCCTCACATCATACTTGCAACAGAGGTTTCTGAGAAAGTTAGCAAGTCAAGCATTTGAGATAGGTTTGCTCAATGGTCAATTTCTTGTGAATGTGTAATACGGATTTTATTTTAGGTAGTGCAAAATGATATAGTATGTGATGTCCCTGTGCCGATGTTATTTAGGTTGTTATCATTCATATGATAATTACCTTTTGATTTAGGACATAATGGTGAAATTTTTATTTTTAAGAATATGAAAACAGATGCATGTTCTTCATTTTTTTCCAGTGAATTGGTACAGTAGATGTATATCACAAAAAAAATCCTTTAGCATCTGTCATTTACAAAGTACATCTTTCATTTTCAGATGTACTCAAAACCAAATACTTGAACATAACAGGTTGTATGTAAAAGATGTGTTTGAGCAAATAGCTTTTACCAATTGCTCTCACAAGTCAACATCTTTTTGGAATAACCCACATCATAGAAGAAAAAAAGAAATTAAACACCACAGTCTAATATGATATACACTTGACAGAGACACTCTATGTGTTCTAAATGATTACATACATTAAACTAATGTAAGAATTTTTTTCTTGCAGGAGCGAATATTTCATATTCCAAAAGATTTTGAAGTTGGAGTATGAATTCCCAGATGGTTTCTGTGAAGAAGCAAAGGACTTAGTACAGAAACTTTTGGTAAATATTTTTGTATATTTTCGTTCAGACAACATAGATAGTACTGGGGATATGTGATTCACTAAATCATAAGCTGCAAAAGTGGCAACTCTGTGTTGGTTTACTTTCCTGTACTACATGAGATTGAGATTAATTCAGTATTGAATTCAGATCAAATCACTGAACATTAAGATAATTCTACTATGGAGGGTATTTGCCATTGCAAATACCCTCCATATATTTATTTATTTATAATTATTTTTTTATATATATGTCTATATTTATATATATATATATATATATATATATATATATATATATATATATATATATATATATATATATATATATATGCATGAAAACATACAAATATACTTACATATATACATATAAACATACAAACATACATACATATATATAAATTTTTTTTATATATATAAATATGTATATATATATATATATATATATATATTATATATATATATATATATATATACATATATATATATAATATATAAAAAATATATAATATATACATATATATATATATATATATATATATATATATATATATATATATAATATATATAATATATATATATATATATTATATATATATATATATATAATATATGTATATATGTATATATTTTTTTCTATATTTATATATATATATGTATGTATATATATATATATATATATATATATATATATATATATATATATATATATATATATATATATATATATATATATATTTTATATATATAAAAAAAATGTATATATATGTATGTATGTTTGTATGTTTATATGTATATATGTAAGTATATTTGTATGTTTTCATGCATATATATATATATATATATATATATATATATATATATATATATATATATATATATATATATATATATATATATATACATATATATATACCTACTTAGAAGCTTATTGATATAGATGTTTATTTTATATTTCCAGGTTTTAGAAAGTGATGATAGATTGGGTGCACGTGACCGAAATGGCTATCCAAGTATAAGAACCCATCCTCTCTTTGCTGGCTTGGATTTTGACACTTTACATGAATTGACACCCCCAGAAATTGTCCCATTCATGCCACATGGAAATAATGAGGTAAGAATTGTTATTTTTTAGCTGTCCCAAACTCTTTTCATTGGCCTATTATTTATGCATGTGCACACTTGCATCTCTCACATTTGCACAAGCACTATACTCAAAGTATGTAAATCCATATACAAGGTGCTGAATACGTATCCTGTATCGTGAGATAGTTAAGACTAAATGTGCTTGATATTTGTGCCATTATTTTCCTCAGCCAACTCGAGGTTGTCTCCTGCTATGGTCACTCATAGGTGACGAGATGTAGAAAATGAATGCTATCTTTCTTGTGAACATGTGCAGATCTTGGGTGCACTTTTTTCTCTCACATTCACTAGATTTATTAATGAGTTACTTAAGGAAAACAGAGGGGGAAACTGGTCATCAAACAAAGCCAAGTCATTCATTTAGAGTGGGGTGAAGAGTTTCAAGAAGAGTTTAATAGCTGGAAATGAAACCTTTGAAACTGAATTCTGATTGTCTCAAGAAGACTTCTAATTGTGATTTGAATGTTGTGAGGCATTTGGTGAAGACTAACTCTTGTATTAAAGAAAATTTGAAACTGAAATGAACTGTCAAACCCTCCCTTATGATTGCCATCCATTTTTAGAGTCAAATTTGCTCCATCCACTAAAAAGGCATAATTTATTTTTGGATGACTTTGATATTTACATTTTTAACTTTCCTTGGGCTTGGTTTATTAAGAAAATAGGTATATAAATAAATGATTTTAAATGTAACAAAAAAACACGGTTTATAGTTGAATGTTGTTGCTCACCTTTGATTTGGAAACTGGAGTGTGTTCAAAAAGATATTTGAAGCTAAATTTAAGGTGGTGTTGTTTTTGCAGTTAACTGATTCAGATAAGATAGCTTTTCCATACTTTTTTTTAACACTTTGTTTTTCCTACCCTGTTTTAGAAATAGATGAAGGTTTTCGTGGGGTGTATAATCTCATTTTACTCCAAAAAAAATTATCTAGTAAAGTAATGTCTAATTAAAATTTTAGTATCTTCCGCTTGAATATACAAGTAGGTATCTCAATTTGCAAAACTAAGTATTGTAAACTGCCACCTACAAAGATTTTAAAAAGAGAGAGAGAAAGAGAAACAGAGCAAAAGAAGTAATCCAAAGAAAAAAAGAAAAAGAAAAATGAATGGAAGAATGGAATAACAGGCAGCATCAGAAGATGGGCAACAGAAATGGAAATTACTTGGGCAATTCTAATGGTTTTGGGTCATTTGAAAACTGAATAAATTAGCGATTTTAGAGACAATGCACTCCTCCTTTCTGGTGATAAAAGTCCATATATCATATTTTGTTTCCATAACGATGAACATTTAAAAAAGAAAAAAAATCCTCTAAACTAAGAGGAAATTTCAATATTCAAATTGCGTCATATGTAGGTGTTGCTATAGAGTATGTGTGTATGTTTTTTTTTATTTTTTAAGAAGTTCAGTCAGTGGATAAGAAATATTTATAATTTTTTTTCTTCTTTTTCAAAATTTAGTTAAATAAAACAAACTTCATCACATTAATATCAAAATGATATGAAACTTGGTGGTGTAAATTGTAGCATATGTATATATAACATAATAAAAAATTGTGAAAATACGATCATAATTAACAAACTTTGTTATAGAATGCAACAGCCCCCTTAACCCATTGGATCTGGATGCTTCACTGCCATCCTGTGGCCCAAAATACAGGCATTAGGCTTACCTGGACCAGCTATTCTGACAGGTGTGGGGCTTTTAGCCAGGCACACACAAACACTCGTATGCAATTACAAGACTCTATGCCTCCCTTTTGCATTATTATCATTTTTTCTGCATAAGCATTTTTAGTTTTTTTTTTTTTTTTTTTTGTCATTTTTAACTTTCCTTGGGCTTGGTGTATTAAGAAAATAGGTATATAAATAAATGATTTTAAATGTAACAAAAAAACATGGTTTATAGTTGAATGTTGTTGCTCACCTTTGATTCGGAAACTGGAGTGTGTTCAAAAAGATATTTTTTGCAGTTAACTGATTCATATAAGATAGCTTTTCCATACTTTTTTTTTAACACTTTGTTTTTCCTACCCTTTTTTTATCTAGATGAAAATTGAATTGTTTTCCTTACACAGACTGCATATCATGTGTAGGTAGTCCAAACTCAATGTAATAATAACAATAAGTAACATTTGTCTTTTCTGGAAATGTCCTCCCGTAATCTTTCCTCTTATTTACATCTAGATCATGAGATGTAAACATTGCTGATAATAAAGCATTAATCAGCTTACAACATTCTTTATCTGAAATAACTCACATCTGCTGACTCCTGGTGTTATTTTTGTTATTACAATTGAAATGGTACTAAAAAATCCTTCTGTTGTTCAATTTTGAAAATGACCAGCAGTCTTGATATTCCATGTAATGTAAAAAATTAGGAGAGTTTTAGCTTACGCATGAGAATATTTGTGTCACCATATATCTGTGTATAGTAATGATAATGCTGGTATTCTAGTCAACCTTATTTTCATGTTCTTGAAGAAATATCTGATGCAAACAATTTGATACTTGAAAGGGAGCGTTATTCAGAGTAATAATGAGTTGGACCCCACATCCAAGTGGCTGTATTGTTGAGGAACATGTATACCAAGCCATGCAGTGTTGAGGTAGAACGATGCAGTTCTTTTCCACCTCATTTTGACCCCAGCATCTTATTCCAGTTGCGATAGTTGAGTTGACCAGAAAAAAATGTAGCAAGTCTGGGACTTCATACTGCTGTAGTGCTATGACACGTCTTTCTGTTTCTGTATTCTTGATTTATATTTTCCCCCACAATAATTGATTTGTTTTTTATTTAGTTTCAATTCCACTTGTTACAATGGATATTCTTTGCTCTGACATACTGTCTGTTGTATTTTACCTTCTAAATCTCCCCCTGTGTGCAAGGAATGGCCGGGGTTACCATTCACTGGTAGCACGCAGGATGGAAAGCAGGTTAGCAAGATTGTAAGACCATGTTACCTTGGCACTATACAGCACACAATTTGCAAATATAAATACAAGGAAACTAAAGGTTTACACAAACAATTGAAAGATTCAAAACCAAAGGGTAAGTTAAGAAAAAAATTAGTTCCTTATCTCCAGATTAACCCATAAACTCTACAATAGGGTTCCTGCAGTCATACCCATTGGTGTGCAAACATTGGCATAAAAGATAATAATAATAATAAAAATAATTTTTACTGTTATTAAATGAAAGATTGCCTGGAAAGTATAGGAAAACCAAATATCAGTTTATTATTTACCTTAGTTCAAGTGTGGTGGTGTAGTGAAGTTGCTTGAGTTACCAAGTGTATATGGAAGTGAAATGTAGGCTGCAAATGATGTGTCGCAGTTACAGCCTGTTCATCATATGATGTATGTCGCAGTTTACGGGTTAAGTACTTTCATAAAGGGATGGATGAGTGTGCATTTGCATGAAGCTTATAATCTTAACAAATCATTTAGGAAACAGTTTATGATAACTGATTTTATTTGGAAGTTTGAACATTGCCTGCTTCCTAGCTCCCTGCTTCCACATTTTCTCTGTAAGGAGCACCTACCAGAAAGGGCATATTGAAACGTACAGTAAAACTAAGGAAGGAAAAGGAGGAAATGGAAAGAAGAATGAATGGGAGAATAAATATCTTATTCTTCAGAAAAGTTTTCTGCTTGATTTAGATTAAGGTCTGTGGGTAATTTGAATATTGTTGATAATGTAATATGCATACAGCATTTGAGAGAGAAGTTCCATACCAGAGAAGTGTTTCAATGAGATTCTGACTTAGAAAGGAAATATATCAGTATTACTCTGTTGTTGTTTTTTCTGCAATGTATAATTCTTTTCTGGTTGTTTTGACAGATTAATTGGGAGCATAAAAATCAACCAGGATTGGAGACAATTGAACTGCAGTTGATGCTTGGCTTAGATATAAGTAATGATGATAATAACAAAACTGTTGAAAATAAAAAGACTGAATCAGAAGCTGTCAAGAAAGTTGGTAAGTATAGCTTTTGGCATCAGTATCCTGTTGAATGATACAAGAGATTTGGCATGCTTGTATTTATATTTGCAAATATTTATGTACATGTATGAGTATATGAATAGACCTGGTCTTGAATTTTCTTCTATTTTCCCCACTTTTCCAGGAAAGAAAAATATGGCCGATATTAGTGATGAAGAATATATTTTAAGGCTGGCTGCACAGGAGAAAGAAAACAAGTGGCACAGATTTGTTGAAGGGAATCTGATCCTGAAGCAAGGACTTATGGATAAACGCAAGGTAGGATCTTTTTGGACATTGGATGAGAAATGGAGAATTATTCCAGTTATTACTCTGTAGAAATTCTGCTTTAAGGGTTTTGTTTTGTGCAGACACAGACACCTAGATATGTAGACCGATAAATATGCACATGTAGACAC